TGGCAGAACCCGAGGCCCCTCCTGGCAAAGGACGTCTCGGCTTAAGGGCCACCCGCTTTCCAGCAGCAGCTCCTCTGGCCATCAGGGAGGCCCCGAGAAACCTCCAAGGAGGGGGGCTCCAGACCTCCCACCCCCACCCCACCCGTTTCCTTCTTCAGATGGCCAGAAGAGTCAAGGGAGGGGGAGGCAGTCACACCAACCGGTGTCCCATACGAGAGGGAGCACAGCTGCCAAGAGAGCTGACTTGCCCTGGCAGAAGCTGGGGGCGGGGAGGGAGGGAGGGAGGGGGGAGGAATGGCTCTGAACTTACTGGTCTCGCAGTGGGCCCCAGTGTAACCAGAGGGGCACGCACATCTCCCCGCCTCAGGGTCGCAGAGGGCCTCCTGCTGGCACTGGCACCGCTGGGTACAGTTTGCCCCGAAGCGCCCCGGAGGGCAGCCTGCAAAGAGGAGATGCGGGCTGGGCCGGGCCGGGCTGGGTCGGGGTCCCCCGAGACGGGCTCATCAGCCTCGTTCCCTTCCTTCCAGAGGCCGCCCGGACAGCTCGAGGCAGCACCGCCAACCGGGGAAGCGGCCCCGCGGAGCCAGACTCCGGCCCCTTGGCTGGCGACGGGAGGGCAATCCCGCTCCCACGGCTGCTCCTTGCCCCGCCAGATGCCCCCCCCCCGGGCCACTCACGCCTGGAGCAGTCGGTGCCCATCCAGCCGGGGGGACAATCGCAGGCTCCGTCCACGGGGTGGCAGATGGAGTGGTTGGCACACTGGCACAGCAGAGAACACCTCTTGCCATAACGGCCTGATGGGCAGGCTGCAGGGGAAGTGCCGGGGAGGGGGGGGCGAGGAGAGGGAAGGCGTGAAGGTCCGGTTTGCAGACGGCCCGGCGTCCACGCAGGCACTCGCCTGCTGTCCAAGGCACAGTGTGCACGCACACACGTGCCCCAGGTCACCCCTGCTTGCCTCGCTGTATGGGTCCAGGTCTCCCTGTTTGAGAACACATGCCACCCTTCAGCCCACCTGGTTTTTGAAATGTAGCTGAAGGCCATTGGGGAGAGCAGGAACCGCCGGGAGAGACACCCCAGCCTGCAGGAGCATCTGCAGCCGGCCTTGTAAGGGGTCCCTCAGGGAGCAAAGAAACCCCATCTCTGGCCGATGAGAGGGCTGCGCCGGATGTGGGGTCTTTAATTAGGACGAGGCAGTCTCATCATGTCCTGTTACAGCCAGGATGTGCATTTGCTCGTTAGCACCAACAGTGAACAGCCTATGTTAGTCACCATTCCATCTCCACTCGTACATGATGTAAGTGCAGGACAGACAAGAAATGCTCCTGTCAGAAGACATGCCATGCCATCCAGAGGGCACAAGCCTCTGCAAAGTCTGCTGCAGATGTTAGTCTCTGTGTCAAGACGGGGCGATGGGGGGGGGGGGACTTACTCCGGTGGCAGGAGGGGCCCCGGAAGCCGGGGGTGCACTCGCAGCTCCCGTCCGTCGGGGAACAGGAGGCCCCGTTCCTGCAGGAGCACAGCTGACTGCAATGCAGGCCCCACCGGTCCTTAGGGCACGGCTAGCAGCAGAAAAGGAAGAGGTGAGGTCTATGGTAAACAGAGAGAGAGAGAGAAAGAGAGAGAGGCCCTCTCAGCAGGAGGGTCCCCTGGGCCCCTCTGCCCCCTGCAGGAGGGCTGCTCTCCACCCCCAGGCTGGGGACACAGGACCTTGGAAAGGGGGGACCCCCAAGCACCGTGCAAGGATGGCCCCCTTCCCTTCCCTGGGAGAGACAAGCAGGGGGTCAGGGGTCAGGAGTCACCCCCATCCCCCACCCTTCCCAGGAGCAAGGAGAGGGCCCACCAGCACCCACCCTGTCGGGAGGGCCGGCCTCCTTCTCCCCCACCCCCTTTCCTCCCGTTGGCTCTCCACCTCTCCTTTCAAGCCAGACTGAGGAGGGAGCGGGACCAACTCAGGGTCACCCTTTACTTCATTGGGG